CTTTAAGATAATATATAATTGGTTTTTAATAATTACGCATTTAGAATAGGCCAACTCCTAACACTGTCCGATGAGATTTACTTACCTTTGCCAACTTCCTTTTCAAATAACAATTTATGGGATTGGTTCGATTAAAATAGCACAATGACCAAGGGCTGATAACTTGAAAACGTGTCTCCCCCATAGATTAACCCAGGGTATAGTGGAGTAGAACGGAATGAAACCACTGGGTAACCGAGGATGGCACGTGCTAACCATTCGGCCATCCAACACCCGAACAGTTTTGGGCTTTTAAAGTAGTTTATCTGATGTACGTAATGTTCGGCCATTATATCGTTGTTATGTACGCGAAATGTGCGGAAAATCGAATTTGACAAACCTCAATTAAAGAAATGTATTTTTCAAATGGCTGTCGAATTTGGTAGAAGGCCATTTAACAAAACCCCCCATAAATTTGGTATAATAAAAGGGCATCTCTTAAGATATGTAAGATATGACTTTTGCTATGTCTTTTATATGGTTTTCAATGTCACTCAATTTGAAGATAAATTTTGAAAATACAAAATATCAGCAACACAAATTGGCGGATATTAAATTAATCGTCATTTTTCCTGTTGGACATTAGATAGTGGTCTCTAAACCATGATGTACACTGTAGTTCAGATATACAAACCGTGTTTACACTGTAGTTTGGGTGTAGTTCGACAAATGAAGATGAATTTTACGATATATCCATCCTGAAATAACAAAAACTGAATATATTGTAAACGCGCTTTAAATATCTGGATGCGATAGACTTCGTGATAAAAAAATTACCATTGGCAATAATAAGATCCAATTTTAGTTTTTAGTTACACACTGTTAACCAGCAATAGATGTTTTAATGACAATATAAATCATAAAATGTATTCAGCTCGTCGTAAGACTTAAATATAAATAGATAGGCCTACAGTTGGTTTAACTTGAATACAGATTTTAATTATCTATGCTGCATATACGCATATATATCAGATTACAGCCGAATCACATTATATATGTTTTTAGTTGATGTTCATATCGTTTTACGTATTTGTCAACATCAAGGTGAACTTGCTCTATTGTCAGATTAGCCTGTTCAGACTTGATACCACGAATTTACTCACCCCACCCTCGCATAGTTATGAATTTTCTTGTTTCACTTGACTCAAAAAACATTTTGTAGGAATGTGTGCTTTTATAGATTGAACGCTTTTTTTCTATATCATTTTCGGTGGAAACTGGCACTATACCTAAAGAATGAACAAATAGCGGAGACAGGGTTTCACTTTCAGCCGGCTGATTTAAATTATTTCTTTAAATACAGTAAAGCTTGAAATATGTCAGTTTTCACTCTTTAGAATGTTTTTGTAAACAAGTTTTATTGTAGTTCCGTTACGTAGTCCCAATAAGCGTTAGAAACAAAGATATATATCCTTAATCCCGGTGCCGATAAATGTTGAGTTGTGTGGAACATGCTAACAAATCTCAGGTACGACATATGTTTGATTCTGGTTGAGAACAGCATGAGAGCAACACGATTGTTTTCATTGGAGATGAGACGCAAATATTTAAAGGGGTTAGACAAACTCTAAACCAACTGCGTTCCCTTCACTGAGTCCCTTCAAAGGGAGCCCTGTCTGTCTACCTGCATGTTCCTGAAGCAACGACTGCGAGTTTCACAACATCTGGCCGTTGCTTGTTTACTTCACAATTCCCGAACGTATCGCTATGTTATCCATTGACACGTGAGCAGTAGTGTCCAATCTGTTGAAGGTGGTCTACCTGTGGAATAACATGAATTTGTATCTGTTAAATTTGTGTGGTAGACAGATTGATATTGTTTATACATAGGCAGGGAGTGTTAATTTCTTACCCCAAACAAATTGCAAAAGAAACCTGGAAGTTTCTGAGAGCGATATTTCGTAATCAGTGTGTTTTAGTGGTGGGGGAATAAAAGAGAGAGAGAGAAATGGGGTTTAACGTCCACTCGACACAAACTAGGTCATTTCGGGACTAACATATGTTTTTTTTAAATTTTTATTTCAATAATTCGCTTGCGCGTAGAGGTCTTTAGCAGTGGGAGGAAACCGGAGGACCCGTAGAAAACCCACGAGGTTGGACAGGCGACCCTACTCCTTGTCACGTACAACCGGGGTGGGGGAATAAATAATTTCTTTTTAAACACAAACTGGTCATAGAGGCGAAATGTGCCGAAAACCGAATTTGGCGCCGGGCATTTCTTATAAAATGACTGTCAAATTTAAAATGGCATTTTCCGACAAGACCAGCAATAATCTCGTAAGATATGACTTTTACTATGTCTTTTAAATTGTTTTCGACGTCTCTTAAAGGTCACCGTCGAGTGCCGAAGTCGTGAAACGCACCATCGGGGGATTTGTTGGGGCCTGTCTCCCCCAGAAAATTTCTAGAAATTTCAAGCCGGAAAACGCGTTGTCTTGCCAGGCCGTGAATACGGCAACCTGAAAGTGGTCCATTTTAATGAAGACATCTGAACTCCAATCAACAAATCAATCAATCAGGCTGTTGTCGTTGCATTCACATGACACCAGACGTGTCACTGATGAAACAAGTATGACCAAAACAAATGTCGCTGTTAGTGCGATCCATTTGTGACAATTTCTAGGTCCCAAATATTAGCGATTTAGCTCCTTTAAAAGCGAATGCAAGTTAAAGGAGCTAAATCGCTAATATTTGGGACCTAGAAATTGACACAAGTGGGTCGGAACTCATATAATACCGTAATATGAATGTATATAAACTGATATACATTCAATGGTTCCGTTTTTACTCTAATGTCAAATCAGTTATGTTCCGCGAAATAAGCCAGCAGTCTCAATCGAATGCAAATTTCTAGCGCCTGGTTATTCCAGTCTACATACGCTGTTTGGTTTGGTGCAATATGTCTAGCCTCGTTCCTCGCTCGAGTCTCTTGCTAGAACTGGGGCTGAAACGCATTATGGTACACGATTCGTGTACCAATGGTAAAATGTTTATTTTGTCTTAAATATTGGATATCAGAAGCCCATCTTTTTCCGGTAAGATCACAGCATCAATGTTGATTTAAATTGACAAATAATTTGTGTTTTCAATGTTGAAGATATTGGATGATATTGAGTTAGAGACTTAGCTACTTTAAATATGTTTTATAGCGCTTTTATTTTGATTTTTCTTATAGAATAAGGCTATATAACAATAATGTGCGCTAATAGTATGTTCAGCTATACTTCTCGTTTAAAAAATGTATGTTTTATCTCCTATAGACACTTATTCGCTGAAATCTATGACATATCTATCCACATCCCTGTTTGTCGGGACATCCAACAATATAATAGGGCATATAAATAGTTAATGAGTTTTTAGAGTTACTTGGGACCCAAGATGGCGTCTTTGTACACTTGACGTCATATTTGCATGACGTCATATGAAATTCCTGGCTTCACAGTTGTCACAACCATAGATATCCTATTATAGGATATCTATGGTCGCAACTTTATCTTTACACGGCTTTGCATGTCTCTATGCAAGTCAGAAAAGGAGTGACGTAGGAGCAAGTCTGACGTATTAGAGCAGGTTATCCAGTCTAAGACTCTTCTTGACATGTGCATAAGTAAGAATGGTCTTGAGAAATTTCTAGAGACAGGATTTTACAAGTTTCTATGTAAGAAAAACTGAAGCATGACTTTGTGCTTACTTTAAGAATTTTCTAGGAACCGGGCCCGGATCTTCTCAGAATTGGGCCTGTATACGATAAACACAAAAATAGGGCGTGACTCTGCCCCTGGAGGTCGAGACATGCAGTTGTCGTCCTTGGGCTATAAGGAATATATATCCCTGTAGGCAAAACACAGAGACACAAAGAAAAAAAATGGGTGTGACTCGATCTGCCCTTGGGGGTTGGGCAATCCCAAAGATAGGTTGCCAGGCAACGAAACATACGCCCACAGCAGCTAAATCTTCCGGGCATTCAACAAGAGTTGTCGCATATTTTTACTTTTTTCGGTAATGAAACATTTATAAAACATTAAAATCTAATTAAGAGTAACAACTCATTTAGTAATTATCAGAAAACCATTAGAATTTGTTTGGTTTTCATAAAGTTCTGCCCCATTAAAACTTTTAACATCATGGATTTAGCTGTTCAATTCATAAAAATTCATTGAAAATCAATATACTTGTTCGTCTCAAGACCTTTTAAACTCTGTGTATCAATCTGAAGTCAATCGGATGATAAAAGTGAACAAGGGCCATAACTCTCATGACCTCAAACAATGTGTATACATGTATTAACTTTAGCCTCTAGAGCATTTACAAGATTTTTTGAAGTGATCAAGAACCATAACTCTGGCAGTAATTATCTAAAATTGCTGAAAATGAATAGACTTCTTTGTCTCATGACCTTAAAACACTGTGTATAAAATTAAAGTCAATCGGATATTAACTTTCGCCTCTAGAGCGTCCACAAGACGCAACGAAGCATACACCTATAGCAGCTTAATCGTCTGGGCGGTCAACAAGGATTGTTGCATATGTAATCTTTTGTAATTATTGTAAATTCCTGAAATTCAATAGGCTTTGTGGTTTCATTATTTTAAATGATGCATATAAATTTCATACATATCGGATGATAACTTTTCTCATTGGAGCATTCACAAGGTTCAACAAAGTGAAACAAGGGACATAACTCTAGAAGTAATTAAATGAAAATGAATGGATTTCTTTGTTTCACTTATTTAAATGATACATATAAATTTCATATAGATCGGATGATAACCTTTGTCTTTCGAGCATTCACAAGGTTCAACAAAGGCCATAAGTCTAGATGTAATTAACAGCAATTGCTGAAATCCAATAGGCTTCTTCATTTCACGAATGTAAATGATGCATATAAATTTCATACAAATCTGATAATAACTTTTGTCTTTAGAGCATTCACAAGGTGCAACAAAGTAAAACAAGGGCCATAACCCCAGAAGAAATTAACAATTTATTGAAATTAAATACGCTTCTACATATTTCAAAACAATCAGATGATGAAAAGATAAATAAAAAAATGACTATAAACCCTTATTCACTTATTCCTGAGACTAGAAAAATCATTTTAAGTATAAAAATAAAGATTGAGAATTAAATGTTTGTGTGATTATAATACAAAAGACAAAGTCAAAATGAAAGCCTATACAATGGTTGTACTCTCCTAGACACATCCAAGCACCATAAACCAATTGTCCCCCTTTTTGATCGATGCCAAGATGGAATCATTTATGTTTATTGTTTTCTCCATCCATGTAATACTTTAAATCACATATTTCTCCAGGAATCTGTGAAAATTTCCTGTAAGAGCCCCACCCCCACCTGGTAGAATATCCTGACATGCTAGATTTTCCAGGCACTACCACTGCTTTGGATCTAAGCAAATTTATATAAAAGATATTATTAGATTATATCTGTTCTGGCTGGATTAAAGTAAGGAGGTGTCATTTGCATTTTCACTGACAACAATTATAAATGTGGCAGGCTTATTACATACAGTAGCGAACAGTATAGGTCGATGAAATTTGAATTCCACATACCTCTGTAAATACTGAATGAATGGAATTGCACTATTATTGGACAGATATTGATCTTGGAGTTGCATCTTTCAAAATACTATAGTGTAATCTGCAATTGATTCCTATATCGCTAAAATAACGCATCGAGACGTTCAACATGATTGCAAAATATAAAGTTATATAATGTACATTTTGGTATCTAAAAGTATTGTATTAAAAAATAACTTGTAGTTTTAAAAATATTTAAAATCCAGGCTTCTAATAGAGAAGTCAAAACAACTTCATAGATTCATAATCACAAATTTACACATTGATTTTGAACAATTAAAACATCCTTTATTCCTTTGAGCACATCTAGGGGGAAAAAAAGGCCATAAATTATTGTTCATACAATATTCAACAGCTTGTTTACAAATAATAATTTCCAAAAATGTTCATGAAATTAAAAGCTTTTAACACAATCTTATAGACTGCCTTATTTGTAGGTCAAAGTGAAAAGGCTGATTGGTACAAAATTCTTTTGTTTTTTAGATTTGACTACTGATTACATATTGGGCATGTTTAGATTTGATCGGTTGCAAAATATGAGAAAAATTTGATCAAACATCGTGTATATGTCTGTACTAGGATTTTTGATAACTATCGGTTGTCCAGTCTATAAGGTTATTATGAATATATTATTGAAATTTTTTAAGAATTTAATGGTGAAAACTTTTTGAGGACCTGAAACACTGATCTGTAAACCAGCTAGCAGAGCAAGTAGCATTGTTTATAATTTTTTAAGATGACAATCTTTCAATGACCCATCCATTTTCTCCAACAGCAGTAGTGTCAGCATTTATTTTCTCCTCCGCAAGAGGTCTCCGAAATACAATTCGATCATGTAGTCTGTTTGTTTGCCCCTGCCAGAACTCAAAAATACTTGCCTTTATATCATATCCACCCCAGTAATCAGGCATCTGAATAGGCTTATCATCTCCAACTTTCTTTTGAATTTTGACATGTTTATCATCCAAATATGCTCTGTTAGGAATCACTTGACTTTGATTGCTGACACATGCACTGATTTGGCTATCTCTGGGTCTTGAATGGAAATATTCCTCGCTGTCTGATTTTGATGCCTTGACCACCCTGCCTTCTATCCTGACTGATCTTCTGAGTGGTTCCCAATAAAACATCAAGCTACAATTTGGGTTTTCATCCAGTTCTTTGGCCTTTCTGCTCCCATAATTAGTATAAAATGTGATTCCCCGTTCTTCACTGAAAGCTTTCATGAGCACTATGCGAACAGAAGGCACGCCTGATTTCGATGCAGTTGCTACAGACATTGCATTTGGCTCTAAAATTTGTTCAACATCTCTTGCTTCTTGAAACCATTTTTCAAATTGTTTGAAAGGATTTCTTGAATGCAAATTATTCACGTCAAAATGGCCTTCCTTCTCATGATACGGATGCCTCAGTGAAGAGATGTCAGACATGGCACGTACAATAACAAATGAATATGGGGCGTGAATGATTGTCCTTACAATACCTAACATCTAGTCGGAGTGTCCCCGTTTTAAAAGCTAAAGATAACGAAATCCAAGATTAGATAATGGTAACAGTATCACCAATCCAGTCTATCCAGACATAGAACTAAATACAGTATTTAGCAATCTCACAAACAGAGTTGTTCTATGATCTAGACTAACATTCAGGGTAGGTAACTCTCAGTACCAAATAATTAATACTAGTTTTACAGAAATCAATCGAAATCAATAATATAAGGTCGTCTGAACCTTTGAAATTCACACAATGGAGATAATTTTCAGAACTATATCAGATACTCATCATATTAATTGCAAATAAATGGTTTTGTTTTTGAAACATGGTTGAGTCCAAGTCGTTGTAATTGATTATTAAAGAAAGGGACGTTACTCTCGTTGCTACAACAAAAAATGTTTTCGAGTCGAAATATCATTGGAAAAGCGAATTTAGTATAGATCTAATGAAAGAATACTGAATAACCTTGTAAACTGATAAGAAGAACAGTATGTCGGAAACAACTGGTATTGAAAATATTTGGTTGATTTAGGTTTCTACTGCCAAACTGTCTCGAATACATTGCAATTTTATTTTTTTCATTTGAAATTGAACTATATATTTCCAAATTGGGCTAAAAAAAAAAACCCGCAATTTTGTAACGTATCTTCATGTCGTGTGTTTCTATCTAAACTATTTACTAATTAATTTTAAAACTGTAAATGGGGCTATCATTAGAAAATAATATTTATATTTATCCTCAAATATCTGAGCCTAGATAAGAATTAATCCTCGTACACACAGTATAGATAAAGGAACCGTACATGATTGATACATCTCGCCCCCCTCTGTTTCGAGATAAAAGATGGTGCAATATAGTTCCATCTGGCAAATCCAAAAATTTCTGCCACATTCAACTACAATTAAGCATAGAATCTTACCTGACACAGGTACAAACTATTCTTTTTAAATCGAAGCGATAATAGCCTGGCTCTCCGACATTTTAAATTTGACATTTTTGACGTTATGAAGGCTGGGCATCATGTACAACAGCCAATCAAAGTACCAACCTGATATGAGTTGCGCAGGAATAATACACCGTAGTATGAATGCCCGTATCAATTTTGATAAAAACAAGACTTGATTTAATTTATTGACAATATTTGCGGAGAAACCAAAGTTGTTTCACTAAAGTGGGCTGTGTATGTTTAATTTAATAAGTCCTAATAGTATAAAATTAACTTATTTTCAATGAAATTAAATTTGCTAGGTGAAACTAAAGGAAACCAGTCATAGCTAAAAACAAGCACATCAGTACATCTCAAGATTTTTAGCTACATTTTCCTACCTAACATCAGTATATCTCAATGTTTTTAGCTACATTTTCGTAGCTAATCTGAGCCATACTAAAATTAAAACATACAGAACTTTTGTCCTGTATGAACAAACGCCGGTAGGCCTACTGTTTGAAATCACCTTGATTCAAATAAATTAAAAACCTTAAACTATTCCAACGCAATAAAAAAAATTTGGACCCTCAACTGACATCAAGGAAATAGAATGTACAAAAATTCAGCCTACACCACTGAATAGGGTACCGTAGATCATTTCATACAAAGATGGTACATCTACCAAAACGATTGGCATCATTTTTACGACAATTCAAGTTGTAGGTCTATTTATTCATTTTTTTTTTCAGAAGGACAAATAACAAAGCAGTTACTGAAAACAAGAAGTGGAGAATTTGACGTAGAAAGTATTCATTCGATTTGTCTTAGAGGTGCAGGTTAGTATGGGATGCAGTATCTCAGAAAATCTTGTCTTTGGCATTTTGACAGAATGTCCAAAGCCTAGATGCCCGGCCAAGTTTTTCGTTTGATTTTCAAACGCTCAAATTCCAACTTCAATTTCAAGCTAGATAATTAATCATTACAAATCATATAATATTACATAATGTTAAATCTGCTCCTTCAATGGAATCGTTTAAAATTAGATTAAAAACGTATTTATTTCAACGTAAATATGACCATTAATGACCAAGACAGTTGAATAGTGAATTATTGACAGTGTACATATGTTAGCGCTTTGAGCATGCATTTATGGATGGATATATGCGCTTTATAAATATACATTATTATTATTATTATGATATATATTTATTAAAGCTGCTGATCATCATTTTGCATTATTTGGACAGTATCATTTTTCACCGCTTAATCCACTCAAAATTGATTATTTTTAAAACATTTAATAAATAAATATATCAACAGTAGATTATCTCTAGGTATGGATTCAAACGGAATAAAAAGAGATGCATCAAAAGATTTTAGGGTACATGGCACTGGCTTGTTTTGAACGTATCATGCTTGTATCGTCTGTACAGGATGTTGAATGTTGACAAAATATTCATTTCATATCCTTGTAAATACTAAATAGAGTTGAACCATTCTTGGACTGGTAAGCCTTGTAGAGATTCAGCTTTTATAATATTGTAGTTTGCAAGGGATTAAGGCCTAAAGAAAAACCAGCAATAGGCAGATTTAGCTCTCACATAATGCATGTTTAAGTATTGTCAGTGAGTTGCATTAATTTGATAAAGTAGTACAGTGAAGGAGAGCTTTCAAATCTTGGGAAACTTAAGATTTTAATAACACTTGCCCAACTAGACAAGCTAGTTCTATACAAATAAAAGATCTGGTAACTAGTTAAAGACCTTTATATCAAATTTATTTTGTTTTTCTTAGTTATTTTTTCAATAAGAGAATCATCCTCAATGAAACTTATTCTTATTATTAAGGTATATTGGATCTTGGTTGTATTAGTGAGTGTTCAAGCTTGGAGAAATTGGATCTGTCCAAAAATGATATTTCTAAACTTCACAAATTGGCTGGATTGAATAATTTGGCAGTGTTAAACTTATCAGGCAATAGAATTGTGTCCTTAGGTATGTAGAATCTGTAAATAAATATTTATGTGGTATATAATTTTCAAATCAATGTTTTTTTTAAAGCTTTATTGTTTGTCAGAAGAATTCATACCTGAGCCAGTAACAATGTTTCTCATGTTATCTCAGATCATGTAATTTGTAACAACAGAAGTGCTTAAAATATATGATAAACATTTAAGAATCTTACAAGCCCTTAAGCGGTGGACACACTAGCCGAATGATTCGTCCGAATCAATCGGCGCTGAATTTTATTCGACCGAATGGGTGGACACACTAGCCGAATGCTTCGCCCGATTCAACCTGTCGATTGCATCACCTTTCACGTCACATGATTAAACATGGTGGCGTCTATGTCTTCAATCTATCACGTGACCTCTCGATATGAGTGGTGATTGGCTAATGAATTCTATATTCGGCTGAATGCTTCGGCGAAGCGGACACACCAGGCGAATATAATTCGGCCGAATATATCAAACCTGTTTGATTCGGGCGAATCATTCGGCCGAATGATAGTGGACACACTAGGCGAATTTCGACGCCGATTGATTCGGCCGAACGATTTGGCCGAATCATTCGGCTATGGTGTTCACCGCTTTACGTGTCTTCCATGTCAAGTGGACCAAATTCAAAAAGTTAAGTTGGATGACCCCTCAGAAAATTATATAAAAAATATATATGTTATACTTATACTGTAGTCAAACTTATGTAAAACTGCAAAGTTATATGACTCTAGCATTAATATTGACTGAGATATGACCTTTTTTAATCGGGGTACCCTTTTGCAAGTTTTGAAACTACTATTCTATTACTCAATTTTGGTGAACTGATTTTATATCTTCTAGTTAGACAATTTTCTTGAAATCTTGGGGTTTGTAATAGAATGTTATATAGATTAAAGATAACATTATGTAAGATGCAGATAAAGAGCTGACCATTCTTGCTATAATAACTCAAAAATTGATAATGTAAAATGAAAATATTGAAAATTTCATTCAAATTAGTTCAGTCTGAGCCAAGTTATCACTGTTTGTAGTTTTGACAAGATTTATTCATGGTAACCAGGGTACTGGTATATTCGAGACTTAGCCTCACTTTCCCATTTTTAAATTAAACTTTTAAATGATGAACCGTTCTAATCTAGTTAAAATCTAGTTGATTACAGTCTTGTTTTGTTAATAAATGTCTAATTAATAGTTTACAGGCCTAAAGAAAGACCTGCAATAGGCAAATTTAGTTCTTGCTTGTAGTGTACACATGTCTATCAATGATGAAAGGCCCATCTTTGATATTTAACTCCTTCATTTTTTATTTTCATTAAATTTGTATGTAGAACTATAACATATATTTTTTCCATATTATTCTGAGGGGGTCACCCAACAAGCACTGGTCCACTTGACATGGAATGACCCATACATATACATGAACCGTATGTAAAATGTTATGTTTCAGAAGGGTTACAAGCTTTAGAAAATCTTACCAAGTTAAACCTAGCAGGAAATCTGATCGGAAGGTAAATATTATTTATGACAATTTTCTCCTAATACCTTCTAACAGTATGCTCTAAAACTCACAGATAACTACACTTTACGATCAATTATGAGTCTATCTTAGTTAAGGAATTGTAATTTTATATATGTAGAAAAGAAAGACTCGGCTAGATACCAGAATTTGTCAACCACAAAACATTGTATGTACAGTTAACAAGGGTTAGACTTCTTTTAATGTATAGCTGTTACAAAAAAGCCTCAATTTGATTCTTGGTTGGTCAGCTTTATTATATTGAACTTTGGACATACAGGTGCGTTCTGTTTAGTGTTTTATAATGTATTTTTTCAAATAACTGATACTCATCTTTTATATTTTCAGAGTTGGAGAATTAAGATGTTTGACTGGTTTAAGTAAATTGACAGATTTAAGATTACAGGATACAGATAATGGATTAAGTAATCCACTATGTGGAAATAATACTTATATCAAAGAAGTTGTAGATCTCTTTCCATCATTAATAACTCTAGATGGTAAATCAGATTTCAACAATTAAATTGATACAAAACGTATTTCGGGGGCAATACATATCTGAAGAGAAAACAGTAATGATGTATTTCAATGTTTTGTTGTACTTCGGTTTGTTTGGGGTTTTTTCATTCAAGTTCCAAAATGCATTATTTCAACTGAAAATCCACAATAAAGCTACATGTATGTTTTAAAAATATTCAATGAAACTTCCTCTTTGATTTGGGACAAAAAGAATTACCAATTTCATTAGATTTTATATGTTGATTTGCTTTGTAGGATGACAAACTGTCTTTCTTTTAAATATTTTTTTTATTTCACGTAACGTAATCTCTTGGATTTGGGACAATCTGTCTATTTTATATATTGATATGTTGGATGAAAATCTTTCTTCAATGATAGATTTACATAAAGCTTGTGTTCAGATATTAAAACTAAAATATTAAAACTGCTTAATCTTTAGAAAGAAATATTAAATTGGATAGAGCTCGTCCCATCACATCAGATCACCCCAATTCAATACTTTATTTTGACCTAATAGTAAGTGTAGAAGGTCTGTAAGCACTACACAAAAATAAAAACCCAACAAGAAAAACTGTGCAAACAAGACATACTTCATAGACATTGAAAGAAATAAACAACAATTATCAAATCAAGTGAATGGATTAAGTTAATAAACAACAATCTGAGGTGTAACTCCTTTAAATTTATTTACTAAAATAATCATTCTTAGTTTTCCTTTAACTCAACAAACGTGTTTTATTTTAAGGTGAAAGAGTATCTGGTAAAGGTAGTGAATTGTATTTTATTTGTCAACAAATAGATCAAGCTTTAGTAGGTAAATATAAGTTATTGTTCTTAAATGTACATGTACATTAATTACAAACATGTCTTTCTTAACTTTTTTTATGAAAGTTATAACACTACCAGTGATAAATTGTTTTCAATGGCATTTATTTAGTAATTGAATAAGAAATACACATCACACAATTCTATGGAATACAATTACTGTATATTACTACGCTACATTTCAATAAGGCTTCTCTAGTCTTTATTTCAAAACATTACATATTTAAATGATGACCAATCAGAGACATCCCACTATATGTACCTTGAAGGAAACCTAAAATTAATTGACTGAAGATTTGATGAGTAGACCTTTTGGTACTACACTGGCGTCTCTGGATCACATTTAAAAAGTAAGATTGTTACATACATGTATATGTAAACTGTCAATTTGATGAAGGGGTGTAGATGGCCGAATGGTTAGCGCGTGCGCGCTGTATTACAAGGTCTATCATTGAGTCAACTGACGTGATTTCAATTCCCTGGTTGTCCGTGACAAGGAATAGGGTCGCCTGTCCAACCTTGTGGGTTTTCTCCGGGTCCTCCGGTTTCCTTCCACTGCTTAAGGCGGCTACGCGTAAGCGAACTATTGAAATGAAATTGAATCATATTAGTCCCAAAATGACCTAGTTTGTGTCAATGGAGTGATATCTACATATAAGTAAATCTAATATCTCTTATTTCAGCATGTAGCTCATCTAATAATAGTTTAGTCACTAGAAGTACAATGCCAGAGAATTGGGTACCAGACAATTACTGGAAGCTTGACACATCAGCATTTGATAATTCAAATTTACATGATGCAGAGCAACAACTTGAAGGTACATATATATATCATGATTTGAAGCTCAGCTATATATTAGTGAATTAAAGGAGAATGTTGGTGTTAACTATTATCAAATATGTGACCTGACTGGTTAAACACATTTCAAATATGATTTTAATGCAGAGATCATTGTTATGTGAGACGGTGAGAGGATAGCTGGAAGTTCAAACAAAAATTGGCTGTCAACAGATAAAAGAAAATGAACAAATTAGAAAACGTGAATAAAAACAAGGGAAAGCATGGGATATTTCTATTTTTCTCGTTTTCTCTTATCTAGTGACAGCCAATTCTATTTTTGAATTGTCAGACATCCTCTCACTGTCTCATATAACAGTTTTTAATCTTCAATGGAATTATCAGTGAAATGAAATTCAACCGTGTGTCTGTTATCGCTCGTTAGGATAACTCGTGTTTGTCATTTTTGTTGTCACTTCCCATTTTTTTCACGTGTCTGTTACAAGTCTACTGTAGCAATGATCTCTGTATTAAAATTATATTTGGAATGTGTTTAACCTGTTCTGTCACATATGAAATAATGACTGACACCAATATTGTCCTTTAAAAATACATTATGCAAGAGATAAATCTGTCTATTTGCAGGTCTTTCTTTAGGCCTGAAATGTTATCTAAATTATTAATTAGACATTAATTAACTTATCCAGACCATAATCAACTCTAGATGGCATCGCAAGCCTGCGATCTTAAGTGGATTGTGAGCTGATTTACTGCATAACTTTCTTTCTCGATTAAACAGATAATCGAGATTATAATGTTTATAGTAATGATGACCGAGGCTAGGTAGAAATTTCATTCGCCTAGTTCTCGGTTCATAGTGGATCAATTTGAATGAAATTTTCAGCAAATTGCTTTTACGTTATCTAGTTTTTAATTATTATAGTGAGAACTTGTTATCGAATCTCCCATAATGTATCTTTAAGCATCATTTGTTTGATCTGAAAGCAGTGGTGCATGACTGAGGGCCCAGAAAGGAAAAAAAAGTCCTGCATATACATGTATCATTGGCAAAGCCCCCTGACAGTTAGAAATCAAAATAAGAGTTGGACATAGCACTGCTCTCAGGGTTGATCTTGAATTACTATTAGAATCATTACCAGTACCACCACAAGTATATTCATAGTTATTTTACTTTTGAGGGAATATACATATTTGACTTTGGTGTGTACCCCTCCGCCAAATAGTTTATGCAAAATTCTTATAAAACCATGATCTCCCTTTCACCCACCCTCTAATTCAAGCAAAATTGCAGACGCCATAAAAAATAATCCACAATTTATATTTTCAGATTTGCTGAAAAGTTGCAAAAAAATGAGTCAAGAAGCTGCACAGAAACTCCAAGAGGCTACACTTACGTTATGACAGCTGATTTCATGACACAAAATTACAGAGAAACTATATATAATGAAGACAATAAGTTAAAAACATTACTGCATGGGACAGAGTAAATGATTTATGTAATCCAGATTCCACTCCTTGGAATGAAAGACAATTTTAGTTTATTTGTTGACCTTCCAGACAATTCTCTAATAAATACTTTGTGTTCACATGTAAACGAATCAGGATTGTATTGTCTTGTTACATGTGCAACGGACACTTCAGTGTAACATTGTTGTTTCCTTTCACTCATTATAATGCGTTATAGTGAGTCCCCAATACATATACATGTACTGAGCTAAGATGCAATGAAAAAGCACAACTTTAATAAATAGGTGACAATATACCAAGGTTGACACATTAACACAGAGAATGCACCGTCGAGTTCATTCAAGAACACATCAGTACCAGAGCCACAGCTTTGCGACAAGAGTGAAGAAGAATCTCACAAGCAGCCATTCAGAGGCATATCTCCTCTATGTGGCGCTGTTGCATAGCCTGCGGGATTGCTAGAGGTTACTGACTTTTGATTTGACCCCTTGTGTTTCACTGTAATGATTTTATGGCCTAATGGGTTTTCTTGTATCCGTAAATATACAGCACACAATGTGTGTCTCAGTATATTACTGAAGGGCTTCACTATAAACATATAGGTCGACATATATGTAAATATTGTAAAATAATTTTTGAAAGATATATGTGGAATAAATAACTTTATTTAAAAAGATGTAATTTTGTTTGATTATCTACACGTGTATGTATAAATGATGATACTATTTTCATACCAGTAAGCACAAACACGATAATATGTTCACACCAGTAAGCACAAACTTGATAATATGTTCATACCAGTAAGCACAAACATGATAATATGTTCATACCAGTAAGCACAAACCTGAACAAATTCCCTTTCAACATTTTTACCTAATTAGAATGTCTTTAATGTTAAACCATGTCTAACACCTCAATAACTGAAGTGTCTATGGTAGTTTATGCATCATTTCAAACACTCACAAACTCTATATATTATGTCTTTGGAATGTGAAGATGGTATTTTGTGGGGATGCATTAAATCTCCATTTTATTTTTCCCTCTGTACTAATCATTCTTTAAATTTCCATTCCTGGCGACACATAGGACACAATTGATGAACTTGCTGTGAATTCAGCCATTTTACAATACAATGGATATGGAAACAATGAGAACACTGGCCCCAAACTGAAAGAAAAAAAAAATTGAATTAGGCCAGTTCAATCTTAAGCAACAAATCCTATCTACATTTTACTTGGAATAACTATCACCCGTAATTGATAAGCATTTTTAAACCTTGTAAGATGTTGCATATTGGACAGGGTATGCTTAATTGTATATTTATTAAAGGAGCCAAGTATTTTTATATCATTCACAGTCTTCAACATTGCAAACACGACTTATTGGTCAATTTAAATCAACATTGATGTTGTTATCTTACCGTGAAAAGTTTGGCTTCTGATGTCCAATATTAAGACAAAATGAAAATCTGTGGCTGTGACTATTAGGTGTAACAGTGACAATGCCTAGGGGTTTGGAAGTACATGTATATAATGAGTAGGAAATCAATATTCTGCGTACTTATCCGGTACAAACAATTTTAATGAGCCAGATACTTTGGTATTTATTTACCTAATGGGCAATCATCTCCTGGTAATTTACAGTCGGGACAACATCCATCAAACGGCATTCGACATATACCACAATTCTCATCATTAGCAATCCATCTCCAACTAGCAACAGCAGTCCAACTGAAACAGTTTTAATTCATTCAATAAGTGATTTTTATATGCCCACATTTCATGTCGCTGCATTTTTTCCATCGGTCGGTTGACAATTTTCGGTTGGATCAAACACTTTCAATTGTTTTGTTAATTTGTATTTCCAGTCATATGTTGACTTTGGAAATTTGTGAAATCAAAACAGTGAAAAGTTCTCAATGGAATTTCTTATAACTTGGTGAGATTGTTCAAATTTGTTTAATCTTGATAACAGGACAAAGCTCTAGAAAAAATTGATTAACACTTAGTGAGACTGTCCAGTGGGGCATGAGAAAGAACATGAAATTTATTTCCGATAATGGTGATAACAACTTGACTTTTCAAGCTTGGGACAGTAGTTTAAAATGGATAAATTCAGGACTTTGCATCTGATCAACATATTAGGAAGCCTTTTAAAACTTACTAACTAAAATTTTTGAGTGGAATGATTAATAAAGAAAGTTGAATGCATGTACTTACCCTGAAATATTATGAAAGTTGAATTGGTCCAGTAACATGAAATGATAAATAAAACATACTGACAGTCAGGGTTTATGTGAAGGGAAGAACCTTACTTGCAGGTGTGAAAAATATTTAAGCAAAATTGATAATGGCTTTGCATTAACAAATGAAATGAAATGAAATGGGGTTTAACGTCCTACTGTTCTCCCCCGAACTGGGCTAATGAAGATGGGCATACACCATACAGTGTGCTATGAGGGAATTTTGCCCAGACAGCGGCACTATGGCCTTCTCTTATATCAAATTCCAACTGTCAAGGGATTTTTTACGTGCACTCCAATGTGTACACGGGACCTCAGGGTTTTTTGTCCCATCCGAAGGACTAGACAGCTGTTCTTGTCAGGTCCTCCATCCTGCATTACTGACAAGGGAAACCACACCAGAAAATCTGGATGAACTTTCTCAGCCAATGCAGGGATGGAACACACGACCTCCAGACTAGCGAGCCAGTGTCTTACCCACTAACATGTAGCCATCATGATCCCCTTGCATTAACAAGACACTTAACATACATTCACATGTATCGAAACAGAAAGTGTCTTGATGAACAACACTATACATTACTGAAATATTACAAGTATCGTATTAAAGCAATACAATACCGGTATATAGTTTTGAACTGAAGGCTTTTCTACAATGCCATCCATATTACTGATGATAGACAAGTCTTTAGAACGAAACTAATAGATGCTGGGGCACATACAAACTATGTAGAATTAAATCATTTTTCATACTGAAATTACAGTCATTCTTTTCTATATTTGGCTGGTGAGCTGAAAAAGAGCTATCCTCGAATTACACAAGTCAAAAATCACTCTCCCCAAAAAGCTCTTCTAGTTAGTCTTGGAACCAAGTGAGGGTCTGAGGGATTTGTAAAGAAAGGACTGAATAAATAATGGGGTTTAACGTCCTACTTTTCTGCACCAACCGGGATAATTAAGAGACGGGTTGTAAAAACTAAGGTCCAACCTATGGGAATGAAATTGAACCTTTGATTTTACAACTGATCCTCGATATAGATTTACTTATTTGAAATATAATTATCGTTTTGAGGCTCAATGATCACTTTTCCGGCAAATGATAAATAGATCTTACTAGATCTAGACTCTAGTCTAAAAGTATTTCTGTAAAAGTAATCATTCATTACATAATGAGGCATATTCTTGAATGAATTTGACATACTCTTTATTTTAACTTTCATTCTTCTGTTGGTGCAGTAAATATATTTAGTAATTCTAAATGAGTAGTCACAGTGGCCTACCGACCTTACGTAAAGTACATGTTTATTATATTCAAAAGAACGTTTTAGTGTGGCAACACAGTATCTCTGCACCCGACTCCACCAGAAAGAGAGGGAGCATCTGTTATTATGGGTGATTTTGATTCTTCATATCTCCAATAAGTTACTCTGAACAACTACAATACATCCTAAACTGTATTTTCTCTTCTAGTGCCAATATTCCTGTAGTTATAATGACATAATTAGTGCGCACAAATATTCCAAATATAACAGACTTCTGTTAAAATAATAATATATCCACAAAAATGGCGGCGCCCATGAAAATGTAAAGTCTGGGAAACCAGAGAATGATTTACTTTCAAGTTTATTAAGTGTATCTAATGTAAACAAGTACGGTTATTGTTATCAAATAACGATATATGTTATCAGTTCTGAAAAGTTAGATGGATTGTTATCCTTTGAATTTATCTATAATTGTCTTAAAAATTGATTGAATGGTCGAGTGAGTTGACAAGGCCAAAGGGAGATAACCTAATATTTACTACAGGTCCCCAACGGTAGGACATTGCCCATGGCCAGGGCCGGATTAAGGCACAGGCCAACTAGGGACCCATGTAATCAGTCACTAGGTGCTCACTTGGTTCAATAAATCATTTCAATAACCTGCTGACAGTAGGCCTGTACATACATGTAGAGCCCTGAGAAAAGCAATTGATCAGGGCATCCCGGCGACAGCTTCAATTTGCTTACAATTTACAATACACGCAGGCCTATATATCTGATTTTGCTTATACTTATATCATCATTCTTTTGTTGGAAGAAAAGAACATGAATAGAATAAGCGTTGGGCCTACACTCTTTATCATGTGATATCATTTGAACTCGATGATTGGCATATGCCACCTAGACTGAGTAGTCTTTGTCAAATTCCAACTGTCAATGTTAAGTTTATGCCATATCTGGGTCCATACCTTTTTTTGGAATATTCTGTGGAGTGATTAATATTCAAAATTCAAACACTTTTTATCATTTCTAGACTATTTCTATTTGATTGATTTGTGTGATGTCGTTCACTTTCATTTAGGCTACTACATGTAGGCTATATTACTAGACCACATGTGAAAGATACATTATGTAAGATTTAGATAAAGAGCTGGCCATTCTTGCTATAAACAGTTCAAAAATAGATAATGCAAAATGAATAGCTTGAAAATTCCATTCAAATTTCATGTACTTTATTCTGAGCAAAGTTATTACTGTTTGTAGTTTTGACAAGATGTTTATTATCGTAACCACGGTACTGGTATATTCCAGTCTTAGCCTCACTTCTCCATTTTTAAATTAAATCATTCAATGGCCGAACCGTTCAAATCTCAAGTATCCGATGGCATTGAGAGTTGATTATGGTCTTGTCATGTTATTATAGTAAATGTCTGATTGATAATATGTATAACATTTTAAGGCCTAAAGAAAGACTTGCGATAAGCGAATTTACATGTAGCTCTTGAACAATGTATCGTTAAAGAGCATTGACTTACATGTATATATGTTGTCATATCTTAACACACAGTAGAGTGTTCACTTAGTGGAACATTGGTGACCAAACATGTTTTTAATAACATATATTGAAAAATATGATGCCATGATTTACATGGCAGTAAATCAGTCAGATAAATTTTTTTTCTGTAAATTTATTGTACTAGAGCATATAATCAGTCTTTGCTTAATTTTTCTTTTCACAAAGCTGTGTTATACTCTTGCAGTTATTGTGATTGATAGAGAAGATGACAGATGAAAATTATTGGAATCGAGACGATCAGTCTGCATCATTTGAATCTCAGGATGTGTATTTTCCTAAACCCTTGGCTAAACCCAATTCGATTAAAAGAGAATTGTTCATTGATTATGGTAACCCATCAAATGTATATTTATACAGCACTTCTGGAAGAGCACCTCTAAGCCAAAAACAATATTTTCAACAAAATGATCTGTATGCCAAGAATCCTACTCTTCCGATGGCTGACACTGCTCTCAAAGGTATGATGCATATTTTTAGTCTTATAAAATATTATTGAAAGATATTACATTAATTTATTTGATTTTTTTTAAAATCATTATTCATTATTACATGTGAACTTAAAGGAAAGTTTATGTAATGTCTGTTATTAGTCCGTGATTGGTCAGTTCAGATTTTTTTTTTATCTAGAATCATTTATTTACATCTGAATGATATGATGTGTTAATTTTTTAATTAAAGATAAAATAATTTATACTTCAGTTTGTGTATTTACATGTACAAATATCAATTTAAATATTTTCAAATTAATAAAGGATTGATATATTTGTGCAATATTTGTTTATTATATATCATGTGTATGTTTCAGTTGATTATCCATTTGTTGATAAAGTAATGGGTGATAATCTATCAGACATAAAAAAAGCCAGAAGCTTTTGTTATTATGTGAACAAAATACGTGGTGCCTGGTTATCAAAGGTAAGCCAGTTACTTTCAACAGCACAAACCTTGCAATTTATTCATTCCTATCTGACACATTCCTATCTGGATCTCATGCAAAATAGAGAGTCTGGATAGGGTATACGTCACACGGATCACATGCAAATAGATATATTAAACAGCAGTTACATCGCATAGAGTGACAGATCACATGCAGATACATGTAGAGAGTTTGGATAGGGTTCACTCAATGCAGATCACATGCATATACATGTACATTTAGATTAATGGAATAGCAGGCCATAAAATCACACTTTGTTACAATCTAACCTCTCAAATAACAAATGTAGAGCTATTAATTAATTTAAACAAATTAAAAATTGTTCATATATCCCCATGTGAAATAAATCTGTAGGCATAAGAGACAGGAGCAGTTGAAAAATTATTTCAAATTATTTTTACTAATAACAAGATAAGCACTTCAATTACACAACTTTTCTTTATATGATAGAAAAAGCTGAAATAAAATGCATCAACAAGGCTAATGAAGACAGGCATACACCATACAATGTGTTATGTGTGAATATTTGCCGGACAGCTGTGTTTCTGCCTATATTTTGTCTAATTCATTACAACTGTCAAAGGTTTTTATTACTAGAACGCCAGCGTATACACGAGACCTCAGATTTTCATCCCATCCAAACGACTAGAAACTGTTCCTTGTCCGACCTTCTTTCCTGCACCAATAACAAGGGGAAACCAGGCTAGAAAATCCAAAGGAGCTTCCCCAAGTTTTCTTATATGAGCATACCAACGTGTACATGAGACCCAGACACTGATCCTTTCTCTGGCCTTTTGTTTCTGAGACTGACATGGCGGAACCAGGCTGGAAAATCCCATGGAACGTTCTTGGCCAACACCGAAATTGAAACTGAAACCTCCATGTTTGTGTGCAAGTGCCTTGATAGAAAAACAGATTAAGTTATACCAGCTTTAAAGAAGAAAGAGTCAAATTATATACATTTATTATATTGATAATCAAATTCATGTATGTGATGAATTAAATATTATTGTTAATTTACAGATACCATATAATCATTTAAAACCATTAAAAAGAGTTATTGAAGATTTAAAGAATGGAGATTGTAATATACGTGCAACATTACACAAAATGGCTACACCAAGTCTTAGAAAGTATATATATGATTTTCAGCATTTACTTACAGCAAACATAGAGGTAATATAAACACATTAATTAACTGATAAACTGGCCATTATTGATTGTAGAAATTTATCATTTATTTTGTCATTTAAAGAGGAATTCTGTCTCATCAAGAAAATAATTTTAAACAGTACTTTTAAACAGTATTTTTAATCAACTTAGACTTAGATTCATTAAACTGTAAAAAATCCAAACACCACACCATCTTACTCAGAGTATAGTGTTTTACACAAGTGTTCATTGACTCTATCCAAATTACTTAAATATATGACTATTTAATTGAAACTTAAAACATAGTGATTGATAAATTTGCCTCAGATTTTGCCTATAATCTAAATTGAACACTTTCCAATGTAAATACATCAAATAACAACAAATCAAATCTATTGTTACCCACCATTGGAATATTCAAAATGCTTGTGTCTATTTTACTTATATCTATGTTGATTGTAGACTTATAACAGTGATTATGTGGGTGGCTGTTTAACATCTTTCAAAACAGAATATGGCAAAAATGCTGTATGTTTTCCTTCGGGAAAGATTTTCAGTAAACTTAGTATCCTTCAAGCATTAAAAATTTACACAATTAATTTTTACTCTTGCATAGGAGTTATCCCCCTTGACACATCATTTTGCTTTGGCAGATGATTATTGAATGAGAGAGAGAGAGATGGGGGGTTTAACCTCACTGACACAAACTAGGTCATTTCGAGACTAACACATGGTTCAATTTTATTTCAATAATTCGCTTATGTGTAGGGGTCTTGAGCAGTGGGAGGAAACCGGAGGACCCGGAGAAAACCCATGAGATTGGACAGGCCACCCTACGCCTTGTCACGTACACCTGGGGAATTGAAACCCCGCCAGTTGACTCAATGACAGACCTTATGATACAGCGTGCACGTGCTAACCATTCGGCCATTTGAATAATATGTGAAAAACATTATAGTAAATTCTTTTTATGTGTTCAAAATTAGTAATTGTTTTGCTTGTTTTTGTGATATACAAATATATTTATAGTTAATCTGTCTATAGCAATTTTCTCTTTTTGCCCTTTTCCCCACGTTTGCTTAGCAAGTCTTGTTGAATATTTGATCTATTTTGACTGAGGCAGAAAAATCAGACATGAATTAGGGAAACCACGTACTGAAATGACGTCACAGCATATAGAAAACGAATGAAGTAATCAATCCTGTTCAGTATTTTTATCAGATGATTGTGACATGTTGGGCTCTTTGTACATTGGAATGTTAAAAAAATGTTACATGTATAGGCCAAGACAATCATGGTTTTAAAATGGGAAGAGAAATAGTAGTCTTACACCCCCATCACAGTATTAGACTAGGTTTTATCCAGTACTTTAAGAGGCATTTTTCAAGAGCTAAATATGCAGGCCTTTCTTTAGGCCTTAAATCTTAAATAGATTATTAATTAGACATTTATTAACTTGCCAAGACCATAATCAACTCTCGATGCCATCAGATCCTCAAGATTTTCAACAGATTTAAATATGATTGAGAGTTAATGATTTAATTTAAAAATGGATGATCGAGACAACACTGTTCTTCTAATGATAATAACTCGGCTCAGAATGAAGTAATTTGACTGAAACTTTCAACATATTCCCTTTTCATTATCTGTTTTTAAACAATTATAGCGAGAACTGTCAGCTCTTTTTCTAAATCTTACATAATGCCTTTTTAAATTAGAAAGAAATGATTTCACTTTTTAATCATTTGTCACATAAACAATTTGTGAAGTTTAACAAACGGTTATCAGACATGGATATTATCCTTAACCAATATTAGGTATTAGACATATAACTCCTGATGAAACTGATAGCTCATTTTATCATTATGACGAAGAAATAGAGATTGACATAGGTAGTAGTATATATGAAGTTGGTTCTACTGTCATCAGAGATACAGGTAATATAAAACATTAAATATAACTTTATAGTGTATTTAGTTGTCTATGTCATAAACATGCTATTGTTTGTGTTATGAACTTATGTACTGATACATGTTCATTGTTTAAAATATTATTTATAGATTTTTGCTGTTTACCTAAACTTTTTAAATCAGCATATTTTACTAAGCATACCCTCGTTTGAAGTTTGAATTATTGTAATAATATTTTATAAACAATATCAAAAGTTTATTGAAATACAAGACTCTAGTTTTATATCTATCTATTCTAGGTTATTGTGCTTTACGCTGTGATGAAAATAAATGTCATCTGTTAACATTTCATCATGCAGATTTTAGTAACACTTTGAATACTATTGAAACTGTTGGTGAAAAACCAACATCTATATGTTTAAGGTAAATAATGTTTTTTAGTTAAGTATGCCCGAAACTAGTGCATTTCAAACTGCTCAAGTCATATGAATAGCTGTTACAGCAAGAGTTGCGAACAAGTCGCAACTTCCGTCATAGTGAGTCTGTCAAGTCCAAAGTTGCTAACTTGAGTGTCCATGCGAATCCCAAGTCTTCACAAAGCCCAAGTTCCATTCAAGTCTACAGTTCATCAAATGAGTCAGCAATTCATGGCGAAAAAGACAAGTTACAGTTATGTTGATTCCCTCATCATGACTTGAGTCCTTAGCTAAGTCGCGAGTGGTCACGATTCCTGCTGACTCCGAGTCGAGTTCCCACATCTGGTAGCTATCAATATGACTTGGACAGTTTTTAGTAATCAGTAGTTTCAGTCTTTTAAGTGAAATACTGGTACAAATATAACACTTTTTTATAAGTAGTCAATACTTTCAGGTTCAGAAATAAAGATCGTTTAAGTAAATCATATAAGAAAATGTTAAAAATTTCTACTCATAATGTTAAACTGTATCAAAATGATCACAAAAAAAGTAGCTCTTTAGAGCACTTTCCTCCAATTTATATACACCCACATTGAAATGTGGTCGTATATTGTTGGCGGTCCGGCGTCCACAATTGCTTGTGGACGCTCTAGAGGCCAAAGGTAATATCTGATTGACTTTAAATTTATACACAGTGTTTAAGGTCTTGAGACGAAGAAGCCTATTGATTTTCAGCGATTTCCGATAATTATTGCCAGAGTTATGGCCCTTGATCACTTTAAAAAATCTTGTGGACGCTCTATAGGCCGAAGTTAATATCCGGTTGACTTTAAATTTATACACAGTGTGTAAGGTCATGAGACAAAGAATCCTATTGATTTTCAATGATTTCCGATTATTACTGCCAGAGTTATGGCCCTTGATCACTTAAAAAAATCTTGTGGACGCTCTAAAGGCCAAAGTTAATATCCGATTGACTTTACATTTATACACAGTGTTTAGGGTCATGAGACAAAGAATCCTATTGATTTTGAATGATTTCCGATAATTACTGCCAAAGTTATGGCCCTTGATCACTTTGTGACACTCTAAAGGCTAAATTTATCATCCGATTGATTTCAGATTGATACACAGAGTTTAAGATCTTGCGACGAACAAGTATATTGATTTTCAACGGATTTTTATGTCTTGAACAGCTAAATCCATGATATTAAAAGTTTTGTATACAAAACGTTAGCATGGGGCAGAACTTTATACAAACAAACAAATTCTAATAATTACTTCATGAGTTCTTGCTCTTAATCAGATTTTAGTGTATTATAAATGTTTCATTACCGAAAAAAGTAAAAATATGCAACAACTCTTGTTGACTGCCCGGACGATTTAGCTGTTGTGGGCGTATGTTTCGTTGCCTGGCAACCTATCTTTTATTGTGTGGCCTGATCAATGTGACTATTCAGTACCATTTGTAATGTTCACATGAGGTAATTAGAATGGAGCAATATCCTGCACATTTCTATTACTGGCTGAAAATCAAGAAAATACAAAAATGAAGTGGGAAGTTTTCATTGCACACGTCTGAATTAAAGTCAGACACAAAATGATTGCTATTCAAGAGCCTTGTTTCCAACTCTATCTGATAATTGTATGTCGGTACCAGAATATCTTCAAAAACGTTGCTTCTGATAATTCCTTTGGACTAAAATAAAGTGTTCTAAGAGCCTTCAACACAGAATTAACCAGTTTTATTTACTGAAATATAACTGGGATTTATCCTTTAACTCCAAATAAACACTCACCGATACTAAAATAATAATAACTGTACTACATTAATATCATTATAATGTATCTTAATCAAGTGTTCTGTGACTGGAGCCTGTTTAAAAATTGGCTATGAAAATTGTTAGGTGAAACATTAGAATTTGAAACGTAAGGAATGTATTTGTACTTATAATGTGAACTCATCCTTGTCTGTTTCAATATAGCCCATATATAGCAGGTGAAAGTCTGATAGCAACAGATTCTGGTACTGTACATATATGGAGAGTTGGCAAAGGGTAAGTTGAGTTTACTGTTTTATTCAACTGTATTAACAAAACAAAATTATGATACTGATTGTTTCCCAATCTGATTAAAACCAGATGTTTTTCAATTCATTTTTATACACCTATAGTTGATGTGGATGCATATTGTTACCACAGTGTTTTGATTGCAATATAGGTCCAAGTTCTTGATAGAATATTTTAAACTTTCGCTCATTGGAGTAGAATGAATTTTTTTTAAATATATATTTAAGACTAAGGAGTAACCCTATCAATATTCAGAGTTTTTTGATTGTATATCTGGTAAAAAAGGCCATAGACAGGGGCTTGTCAGATGCCCTAATACATCTACCAGCAGAAAAGATGTTCATCCTTGCTCTAAAATAATTGTCAACAAATTCAGCAGTACAAGTTTTGTAAAATCATGTTTCACTGTGTAATGAAGGAGTGTGTTACTGACTTCATCAATAACTGTACTCTTTGATCTTCCAATATGGTATCCCCAAGCTTAAAAACAGTGCCATTTTTTTACTAACTTATAGTGAAATTTATTTTAATTTGTATGTTAAAATTAACAGTTAGTTATGTTTTTTTCTCTCCAATTGACAATGGCTTACTCTGGTTCAGCCAATGACGTCTTGACTGTAATCTTTAGTTTAGTGTAACCTGTTAACAGAGCTGTCTATTGAATTAAGTATTCCAATAGTTAGAATGTAGAAATAGATGAACCATATCCTTTAAGTACATCAGAGGTAGTTTTAAGGGTTAAGCAGGTTAAGCATAAGCAAATACTTAGAAATAGATGAACAATTTCCCTTAAGGACACAAGAGGTAGTTATTAAGAGTATACTTAGATTAGAGAAAATACCCTTTACAACAAGTGGTATCTGGTGTTCAAAATAACAGAATAAACCCACTTTGTATGACATATTAATCTCATTATACAAGGTACACATTATCCTGTGTATCATTAGATTTAATATTTTGATCAATTTTATATTTCAAATTTTTTAGTTTAAATGCTGTGATATTAAACAAAGCTAGCAGATTTCACTCTAATGATAAATGGAGACAAGTACATTATGGAGCATGTCCACAAGAATTAGTTGTTGCAGATAGAACTGTAGTAGAGATGTTTGATAGACGGGTAAAGTATCACCATATTCTTATTGCAAACTATGATTAATTATGGCAATTTTTGCTAGTCAGTGTTAGGCAGAGAAATATGCTTGTCAGTCACTGAGAACCTATATGCTTTGATCATCAGATCTGGTTTATTGACGAAAAATTCCAATAGAAACAGCTCTGGCTGGATACAAACATTTCTTAGTGTTAGATATGATGACATCACATATTTTAAACTTGTGTATTAATGGCAGTTTAATTGGAATTACCAAACTAAGGATACATCTTTAAGTCAGCTTTTAGCAGTCCCATCTATTACACACAGTGTTTCGCCCAATAATAGTGCTGAAATGTCATTGTTTAATGCCACTGATCATGTTCTGCATTTTTCATACAAAACTATTTTTTCATGGCTTAATCCACTCTAAAATTTACTCAATTTGATTATTTAGCATTTAAAAAAGAGAACAAATGAAAATATTAGTCACTTTGATGCAAAAGACGTCTATGAAATTATGTTAGAGAAGATTATAGGTGGCGTTGGTTTGCAATGACCATATCGCCAGCAGAGGATGCTGAATTTTAATTTATCATATCTCTGTACGAGTAAATATTGAGTGAAATTGAACCATTTTTGAACTGATATTCCTTTTAGAGGTTCAACAATATTGTATGTTAGAGAAGATTATAGGTGGCGTTGGTTTGCATTGACCATATCGCCAGCAGAGGATGCTGAATTTTAATTTATCATATCTCTGTACGAGTAAATATTGAGTGAAATTGAACCATTTTTGAACTGATATTCCTTTTAGAGGTTCAACAATATTGTAGTTTGTAAGGGATAAAAAGTTCTTCAAATGAAGATCAGAGACATTAATTTGAATTGGTTTAGTAGATGTTAATTTGTTTTTCAGACCAGATGTGAATCAAGTATAGACCTGTTTGCTTTACCTAATAAGATTTTAGTGAACTCTGAGAGAATATCAGCTATGCAAGGACATCCCACAAATCCATATTATCATATAATAGCTACAGACTATTCTCTACTTCTAGTAGATCAAAGATTTCCTGGACATAGTGTAAGTTGGAATATTTACATCTCGTATGAGTTATTAGTCTCTATGGCGCAGTCCATACCTATTTTATAAGTACTTTATTATAAATTGATGACGATTTATAGACTTTTAAGAGAAGCAGACTTTAGATCTGATGATTTGATGAAGATTTATCATATCTTTTTGTTTGGCTGAGTGATAAACTGTGGTTATGTGTTCTTATAAACAATAAATGGATTGGGGACAATGCATGGATAATGATTCTCTAATTATTTCCATTTCTCTATAGATATTGCACTTAAAACTCTTTCATTTATCTATTGATATTCAATTTAATAAGCTTTATGTTGTATACAGTATAGTTTATTTGTAATTTTAGGTTATGTATTGGAATCATGTATTATTGAAAACTCCTGCCTTAATGTCTGTCTATCAACAAGAAAATTATAATAGTTCATTAATATTATTAGCTTCACAATATCCTGCTGAAACGTGTTGTTATCAGTTTCAACAAACATCGAATGATCCAGTCTACGCTACACAAACACCATGGAGGCTCTCAAAAATAAGGTGTCTTATCAATTTCCATTTTATTTTAGGGTTGATCAAAATTTTAGTCAATTATAATGTATTTTATGACTGAATGTACAAACATTTTAAAACATTTCCTGCCATTGAATAGTAACCACACTGAACATTATTTCACTATTCGAATATTCAATGCAATTTATTGTGAATTTTTGGATTTCTACAAATTCATGTTTTTTAAATCAATGTACTTTGAGACTTCATAACTTCGAATAGCCTTGAAAATGAATTTAAATGTACAGATATTTGTGTGTATATTAATTAGCCTTGAGAAATACATTATAAAATACCATTTTATTTATAACATTTTCAATTTAAAAAAAAAAATTTGCAAGAAAAAAAAATGAAGTTTTAGTACAGTGTAATAATTTGTTATGCTTTATCATATATAATAGTTGTGGCAATATAAACTGCTTGTACTGACATGCCATAAAACATCATTAATCTATATTAGAGTTCACACTATTTCTTCCAGTGATATATGCCAGTTTGATAGTCCCATGTTAAATACCTATTCTCTATTATCTGAGAAGAGATTGGATACCTCTATATGTGGTATAGCAGTTTTACCAGGACCAGATAAACAATCTTTACTTACATTACAGGTGAGATATAACTACTATAATTACACTTTCATATATACATCTCTTCTCATAAACTTTTATATAATTGCTTTCTGTTTCGAGGACAAGAATTAGATTCTGCTTACAAGACTTTAATTGATTTGAGAGAAATGAAGAATGATTTGTTAAGTGGAATATATACAGTGTGTAATGACATAATAATAACATTTCTAAAAGTAGAAAATGTCTGCACAGCATATTGGAACACTAGATATTAACCAAGTTATTTTGGGATAATTGCTATGTTCTGATTGGTCATTGAATTGATTAACAATGGGATGATCTTATTCCAAAAATATTAGTAATATAATTATGATAGAAATTATGATAAAATTATTTACCACACTGTCATTTACTGCCCAGAATCATTGCATTAAAACAAAGGTCATCTCTCTTCTTTGATGTTAATATTGATCTTAAAAATATAAAGTACAAAAGTAATGAAATGAAATGAAATGGGGTTTAATGCCTTACTGTTCTGTTCCGAACTGGGCTAATGAAAACATGCATACGCCATACAGTGTGCTATGAGGGAAATTTTGCCCGGACAGCGGCACTATGGCTTACTCTTATATCGAATTCCAACTGTCAAGGGATCTTTTACAAGCACGCTAATGTGTACACAGGACCTCAGTTTTTCATCCCATCTGAACGACTAGACTGCTGTCCTTGCCAGGCCCTCCGTCCTGCATCACTGACAAGGGGGAACCACGCCAGAAAATCTGGATGAATTTCCTCGGCCAATGCAGGGATCGAACACCCGACCTCCAGGCTAGCAAGCCAGTGTCCTACCCACTTAGCCACTGTGACCCCCAAAGTACAAAAAAAAAATGTAAATGAATGACAGAGTAGTGGTAGTTACAGACATTACCAAATATAATTGTATTTGGCAACTTATTTTATCAGTTTAGCGCTATCACATGTAAATTACTGCTTACTACATGTGTATTTTGAATATGTATTGTCAGTTTGTTTTGCTGTGTTGGAATTTAAAGGAAATCCTAACTTTACATTTTCAATTATTATGCTGTTAGTTCGAGATCTGAAGAAAATCACTTTAATAGTAATTTTTGTATTAGACTGTATGTTGTTTACACTTTTCCCAGTGTTCAGTAAATTGTAAAGTACCCTCAAAATTGTAAAGTACCCTCAAAAAAGATCTGAAAAAAATTATCAAACATCTTCCAAAGCCACCTCGTGGGTTTTCTCCAGGTCCTCCGGTTTCCTCCCACTGCTAAAGACAACTACGTGCAAGCGCATTATTGAAATAAAATTAAACCATGTTAGTCCCGAAATTACCTAGTTTGTGTCAAGTGGACGTTAAACCCCATTTCTCTCTCTCATCCAAAGCCAATGGTATTGTTTTAACACTTATTTTACAGCGAATGTAAGCCCATAATACAACAATCACAGTAAATGTTGCACAATAATAACACTATATGTATTAAAATAGACCCAATAAAGTGTAAGTTTTTGATACAAGGATTAAATTTGTCAAATTAACTGGGTGTGTTTTAAAAAAAACAAAAAAACAAACCAGAACTAAATGGAAGTGATGTTGAGACAGGTTTGAGCAAATTAACAAGGGCAGTTTACAAACCACATTTTTGTCGTAACATATTATGAATATTTCAGCTGGACTGTCATGGAGAGTTATTTTATCAAGTTTATTCTTCAAACTATAGTAAAGATGATTTAACATGTTCGGCTGGACCAGGTTATTCTGACGGTAATTTCTCCAATGATGCTAAACTGAAGGCTAAAACATGGATGTCATCATTAGAATCACATGTTTCACAGTTCTGTGATAAAAGAGATATCCTTAAAATGACTATTTATGATAACTCGGATAAGTATCATGGTAAGTGAATATACTGTTAATATTATCTACATCAATAGTTGAAAGAGAAATGAAATGAAATGGGTTTAACATCCTACTGTTAGACTCCATCTGAACTTCTTACTCACTGGGCCACCACAGCTCCATACTTCAAAGAGTAAATCAGAATTATATGATTATTTATGATGAGACTGAAGACATCAAGTTGAATTCAAATGATGGCTTTACAGTCTAGAAAACTTTACCAAGGGAACAACGTTCATACTATATTGGGAAACATATGAGAGAAAATATGAATTTGTTTTATAGATCTGAAACAAACCCAACCAGGTCATGTTCTCTGTCCACAATGTTTACCTAAAACATATGATAGTGATGATGATGATTCTGATGAGGAAACAGAAGAAACCTGCCCATCATGCTCTTTACCATTAACATCTGCTAGGACTGTATATGAATCGGAGAAGGAGGTATCTAAAACAGAATTACATAAACATTTTAAAAGAAGATGTCTAAAAATCTTAGCACATGATCCGTTTAAAATCTTTGAACAAATAAGTAAACCATCATTGTGTTTTTCAGAAAATATTACCCATGACAATGGCTCTGTGGGCTAAGCCTTTAAAGTTTTGTTTTCATTATCTGAAATACTTTCCTATATCCCCTACACATGTTTTTATTTTCAGGGTACTATAGCAGATATTACCTGTAATGGTTTTGAAATGTTTGATTCTCAGATTCCACCATATACTAAGTTACCACATACTAGTGCTCATAGTAGTATTTTAATTAACTTGTGGAAAGATAAACCAAATATTTCCAACCTTGTAATCGAAGCAGTAAGTTATCAACATATAAAAATTATTTAGCATGAAATAACAGAATTCATAACAGGAGATTTTTTATAATAGCTGTAAAATAAGAAAATAATGTGATAAAGAAAATGTATAACAAAATAAAGTTTTGAATGGTTATTGTATAAATCAGCAATGCTGTTAAACATAACACTCATCAAAACAGTAATTGATTGATTGATAAGACTCATAATAACCCACCCATAATACACAATTACAGTTTCCCCCCCATCCCTTTGGCTTGAATTGATTTCATGATGCATTGATGTCGTGTTTTACGGTACATATCACACAAAAATTCGTAAATGAAACGTGTATATATTAGTAAATAAAACTGCTTAATTCTGAGTGAAAGACAATTGGAAACCTACATCCCAGTCCTGAGCAACTATTTAAAGCTCTGTGATATGATTTCAAAGAGATAAAAAGTTTCAGTTTTTATATGAGTGCCTAGATAGCCATGTCTGTTTAGTTGCTGACGTTGTAGTTGTATGTACATGATCATCACGATTATCAAGTCACTCACACATCAAAATTACTTAAAGAAATAACATAATTAACCATAAAAATACTAATCATGTCCAAATATCAGGCAAGCTATTTCTTTTTATTTTGGCGTTTAATTTGCATATTTAATCCTACTTTCCGATACCAGGAAATAACAAAGACATAACTATTCTAAACAATATGGTTTGATATTTATTTTTTCAGGATAAAAATGCTGTGAAGTATAAGCTGGCTCACCAGAAAAAATTAACAAAATTAGCAAAGAAAGCTAAAAAGAGAAAAGAACACTTCAAAACGCTGCGTCGTAATGGACATGACTTGAATGAAATATATTTTAAAAACAACAGAAACCCATCAGCTCTCGATCATTTTCTAAAAGAACTGGCTGCTCTGTACACAGGAGAAGACCCAAATCAAATTGATGGTTCTGAGAGTGTAGTCAGCATGTCAACTACAACTATGTCAACTTCCGGCTCACCGGGTTCAAAGAATCGTGCAAATCTGACACTACTCGCAAGAGAGTCCCAGAACTTGTCTCTGTTACAGCAGATGAACCCTTCTACTGGTTCTTCATCCCATACAGATGTTATGTCGGTGAGATCTCTTGATTTTTCTCCAGCTGCTAAAAAAAGTAAAAAACGGATATTATCCAATAGACTACAACAAATGCAAGGGAGTGACAGTGAAGCCTCGGGTTCAGAGAGCCGAAATACACCCACAAGTTCTTCAAAAAGAAAGTCACTTCATAAGACTTTGGTATCACCAAGCCAAAAGTCCATAGAAGGATTTAAGATACCATCCACCCCAGCTCCTAAAAGAAGGAGACATAACACAGATAATTCATCTTCGAGTACCGTGGTTGAGCAGAATACTCAAGATGACAATTTTAGAATTATGGAACAATTAAGTGAAAGTGTGACAACAGATAATCAAGTATCCAACATTCCCAAAAAATCCCATCTGAATGATAATAGTGTTGATAATTTTAAGCACTGTACTGTATCTCTGGAAATACTTGAGGACACTGAAACCAATGAAATAGAAAACTCAAAACCATTAGAAACAGTAGATGATGACCAAAGACAGGTGGAAGAATCAGGCATTAAAACCAAAAAGAAGAAGAAAAAGAAACATAAGGATCCTGAAAGTTCTGGTGATAGTGATATATCAGTTAGTAGTAACACAAGCAATCAAAGTATGGTCTCTAATGTTTTTACTGCAAACGATAGAGCAGTTCGGAAACAAAAAAAGAAATATAAACATAAGAAGCCCAATGAAAAGGAAACAGATACAGAACTGTTCTCATCTGAAGATGATGGCAGTGTTTTTAGCTTATATTCAGGTGAAAGTGATCTGTCTGAACACTTGATACCCCAAAAACGTAAACACAAGAAAAAGCAGAAAAATAGTAAGGATAACTTGGAGGATTCTACATATAATATGGTTGATGAAGTCGTTATGAATAACATTTTAGGTGCAATTGATACTTTTGAGAATCAGAACCCTATCAGTTACTGTTCAAAAGAAAATGAGACAAATGCCCAAAACAATAGAGATTTTGTAATTGATGATAAAAATGATGTAGCTCATACTGTTGAAGAACATGATAAAGCTGTACAGGAGACAGCACCAAGTGAAATTCCATCTTCTTCAACAGTTATTAGTTCTGAAGTAGAGGATAATTTGACGTTAAAACTGGAGACTGATTCTGACCATGGCAGTACAAACTCAAGAGATGGTTTTAAACCAAAGCTGAACATAGACATTAAGACAGAAATGGAAGAACTACCCTTCCATGACAGTATACCACCTAGTCCTTATAGTGTTGTTGATTCCGAAGATAAAATAGATGTCATGTCTATTCCTGATATCAGTAAACACAGTCAGTCCTTTGCAGCAAGTCCAATATACAATCCTATCTCAGATAAAAGAAAGAAGGGTGATTCTCAGTCAGCCAGCCGATATTTAGATTTCGATCAAACATTGAAAGACAAAAGTACCACAGATGATGTCAATGATACAGATGTTCATCCAACTGCCTATGCCGGCCTAGAGTTGATTCATTCAGAAACCGAGTCATTTTCTGAGACTCTACTTCACGGAGATACAGTGAAAGTAGAGTTAGAGGATACATTAGATATTAAGAAAGACAATCAGACTATGAGCACAGTTAAATCCCAAGATGAAAGATCGTCTGGACAATTTTCTACTTCAGCTGTTGATGATGCTTATAAGCATATTAATGTTACTAGATCTACCCCAGCAGATAATATATCTCAAACTTCAATAGTTGACAGAAGTGTTTCTCCATCCAGAAGTAACATAAAATCATCTCCACACAAACTTGATAAAAATGGATCTCCATCTAACAGAGATAGAAACGTTTCTTCATCTAAAAATCGTAGAAGTGTTTCTTCACCTGAAAGTAATAGAAATGATTCTCCATCTAAAAGGGAGAAAAGTATTTCTCCATCTAAAAGGGAGAAAAGTATTTCTCCATCTGAAAGCTATAGAAGAGTTTCGCCATCTAATAGGGAGGGAAGTGTTTCTCCATCTAAAAGCTATAGAAATGTATCTCCGTCTAAAAGGGATAAAAGTCGTTCTCTATCTAAAAGTGATACAAGTATTTCTCTATCTAAAAGTGATGTAAGTCTTTCACATTCTAAAAAGGCGACAAGGACCGTAATTTTACCTTCAAAACAGAGTAGAACTAAAAGTGATAAGGCTTCTGTTTCTAATAAAAATAAAAATATCTCACCCTCTGAAAGTGATGAAATTAAAAATAACCCACCATCAAAAAGTGATAAGGCTTCTTTTTCTAAAATTGATAAAAATAGAAATGTCTCACCCTTTGAATGGAATGAGACTTTAGAACCATCTCGATATTTGAGTGACAGTGTGTCAAATTTAATTGATGATAATTTAACCTTTTCCCCAAGTATGACATCAACTCAGTTAACTCACAAACCAGTTATAAAAGATAAACCTTCGGCAAGGAAGAAAAAAAAGACATTTGTTATTGGATTTTAAAGTGAAAGTTACATAATGGATATCATTTGATTCATTTAATACATACATGTAATAAAATTGGTACAAAGGTAAAACAGCTGTTATAAAAATAATATTAAGAATTAAAACTGATTGTTTGAATAAGTAAAATATTAAAGATGCATTATTCAAGAGATAAATCTGCCTATTGCAGATCTTTTTTCTGTCTTCAAATATAAATTATTATTTAGATTATTATTTACATGAAAAGCCCATAGTCAACTCTAAGCCTTCAGATGTCTTAGATAATAAATGGATTAGAACATCAGCACCATTTAATAATTTAAACATGCATTATGCAAGAGCAAAATCTGGTTATTACAAGTCTTTCTTTAGGCCTGAAATGTTATCTAAATTATCAATTAGACATTAATTAACTTATCCAGACCATAATAAACTCTTGATGTCAAGGCTAGCCTTCGATGTTGGCTGGATTAGATTCCTATATGCCGCTAACGGCTATTGATAATTAAATCAAGAAATGTGGATAATCGGAGACTATGCTGTTTATATTAATGATTTTAGTAATGATGACCGAGACTATGCAAAAATTTCACCCGCTTCTTTCTCGGCTCATAGTGGATCAATTTGACTGAAATTTTTAGCAAATTACCTTTACACTATCTAGTTTTTAACTATTATAGCGAGAACTGCCATCTCTTTATCTTATCTCCCATAATGTATCTTTAACTTTAACATAGATAATCCAGATTTTATATTATACCAGCAGTGGTACTTGCAAATCAAGAATATTTGTTCTAAATCTTGTCAAAACTTCAAACATTCATAACTTCGTTTAGAATAGTAATTTGAATAAAATTGTCAATATATTGATTTTGTATAATCTATTTTTAAACAATTATAGCAAGCCATCTACAATATTATGAAGGTAAATCGTTCAAATGAAAAACAAATATCATTCCAAAAATTCTGTGAAAGGGGCATTGTGGACGATTAGATAAATAGCTAGCGGTTCTCACTATAATAGTTAAAAACTAGATAATGTAAAGGCAATATGTTAAAAATCTAAACCAAGATATTAGCAATTGAATTTTAGGCCTAGCCTCGGTCATCATTACTAAAGTCGTTAGGATAAAAAACGTCTCGATTATCCATTTTTGGATTTAATCATCAATGAGCATTGAGCAGCAGATCAGATTCAAATGTCTAATTAATAGTTTATATAACATTTCAAGCCTAGAGAAAGAACTGCAATAGGCAGATTTAGCTCTTGCATAATGTATTTTTAAGTATTTACAAAGATATGATCAATTAAAAATTGGTCATAATTGGGCATTCACTGGAGACGATTGAAACAGGATATGGTCAAAAGCAGCCAACACCATCTATAATTTTCACTGAAATCTTTTTGATGGGACTTTTTTTTATAATCTAGTGGAATCGGGAGTACATTTTGGTGTGGATTAAACATGCACTATGCGAGAGCTAAATCTGCCTGTTGCAGGTCTTTCTTTAGGCCTTAAATATTATATAAACTATTAATTAGACATTTTTTAACATGACAAGACCATAATCAAGCCTCGAGACTCGATGACATCGGATAGGTTTGATTTTAAGTAGTTTCGAACAACCAGTACTGTCATTACAATAGGTGCAGTGCTAAAATATTCGCTCCAAATAAAATAATTTGAATGCAATTTTCACTACATTTATTTTGCATTATCTATTTTTGAACTATTACAGCAAAAATGTCCATCAGGTAATCTAAATCTTACATAATGTATCTTTAAGTCATGAAAAAAATTAAATATTGACTGGTAATGCAAATGAGGATGAGCCCCCAGAAAATGTGTCTTCAAAATTATGATTTTATAAAATCAACTTAAAATACAGATTTATATAAAACGAAATTTTCAACAATAAAAAACGAAACGAAATAAGATATGTGTTTTAGTCAGATCGGATATACTACAGCTAGTATTTCTATTTTTTTATGCTCTATATTTTGTCTTCTTTAACCAAATGCAAACAATCAGTTTTAATTTTCTGGTGTTATTTATAATTATAATGATTAAATATATTGTTATTGTTCAAGTTTGTTTATGTTCTGTCCTTATTGTTTAAATGATCGATAAGCCAAACAAATTAATGTGCCATAGTGCAGTTACTTGATAAAAACCTAGTTCCTGATAAAACCTAGTGTGAAAAGTACAAACATGTATACAAAAACCCGTGGTGTGTTTATATGCAGAATGTGCCACCTTTTCCATAAACCTAGGAGAATTAGGACTGTTGTTTTCAGTCGGATGATGAACCCTATTGATTTTCAAATTTATTGTGAAGCATTGGGATCGACAGAGGATGAACTATGGTGATTTTCAACATTCTAGGACTTCCTGTTCCAGAAATTATTGCGTGCCTAGAAAAGTTTGAGAAAACGATAGAGATCAAATTTCTAAAATGCATAAAGGATTTGATGGATATCTTTTTTTTTTCTCTAGACATAGCTGTGGGCTTCTTCCTTGGGAGATGGAACACTTAGGTCTTGCATTACAACCCCACCACTGCATATACTCCACCACTGCATATACTATACTAATTTTCGAGGACATCAACCGAATTTCAACTGCATAGAGATCTTGTAGTGTGTACTAACATGTGAACAGGACTATGGCCGCGTTTTTCTAAATGCCCGGTCCCAGTGGCCGATGGGCACAAAACGTATGCAAAAAGGACACAGCGGACGAGCAAACTTTCGGGGGGTGGCTCCATCCGTTTTCATCCGCTCCAGAAATGGACAAAATTGACGAAAATTTGCGAAAACAGAAAGGAAAACAGGTACATCCCAGATACAAACGCTTTGTCCATTTTGAAAACTTTATATACGAGATGCATACGCTTACATCCTTTCTATTTCCGTGCTACTAACGATGTATAGATGTTCCATGTACCTTATCTTTCCCCCCTCTTTCCGTTTTCAGCTGGAGCGGATGTGAGTTGCGAGGATGGCCAGAGGATACAGGGGACGTTTAACGGATGATAACGGACATGGAACGTTTGGTGCTCGTATATGTCGCGCATTTACATCGTACACGGCAGAAAGTTCATCAGTTATAAAAGTTTTGTGCAGCTCAAAACGTTTTGCGCGGATGAAATCAAAGTGAACGGATGCTCGATGGATAGAGCGTATGAAACATGTATGCAATGAGTACACAACGGATGCATGGCGTTTTCAAACGGAGGGCACGTTTTTCCCCGTTTTACATCCTCTTTGCATCCGTAAGTGCAGTGGGGCTGGGCCTTAACCTCGAGGAATGTGCGGTGCATGTTGAAGTACAATGTAAAAAGTAGGTTGTCGTTTGTTTATCTGATTTCATGACGTCCTTGTAGTTAATACCGAGATTGATGATAGCTTGATATTACATTTTAGGTTATAACGGTTTTTAGTATCGTAAAATGGTTAATTCTCTCAGTAACAACATTTTATTAAAGTATTATTTTGTTCCTTTCCCGCTGTTTAATTACCAGAATTTAATCTAATTACACTCGGAATGGTCGTAATCGAGTGTTCGTCAAAGACGTACCTGATGTGTTCACGGGATGAATTGTATTATTTATAGAGGAAACACGCCATCTTCACAGCATAATGTAATTATAGAACTGTCTATATATCTATATATTTATATGCCTGGAATATGAAAACTATTTCCAGATACACGTAATGATAGGTGTCACTCAGTTAATATTACGTTTAGCATCAAATAAAGGCCAAGCATATGGGTTGGATATACACAAATCTGTAATTTATCACTATCTTTAAATGGATTCTAGGTTGGGGAAAGATGTAAGGCACGGTATTATTTTTAGGATATACTATTGTCCCCGATTAACCACAAAAATACAGACTTTCAGTTCATGTAGGCCTACAATTAAAACTATTATGGGAGTTCCCCAAAAAGCATATAAGTACAAAAAAAATTAAAATTCGACCTAACGTGACCTAATTTATGGTTATCTGAAGTTTATGTTACATTTCGTTTTTTTTACATGCAGCCGTATAACGATAGCCCATTTCTTTCCATGAACATGGGGGCCAACATCTAACCTACGTTTAATAGTATAAATTACTATCCAAAGAAACATTTCAGTCCAGTCCTCTTATGTCTAGACAGTGTTACTTATAAGTAGAGCTAGGGCCTAATGGTAGAGGGACAAGTGAAAATAAATCGAGAGGTTGGATGGCCGCACGGTCTAACGCATGCGCTAAAGAACATAAGGTCTGTCATTGAGTCAAATAGCGTGAAATCGATCCCATGAATTAGGATCGTTTACCTAACCTCGGTTCCCTCCTACTGCTAAAGACACAAGCGAATTACTGAAATAAAATTGTAGCCTACTGTATGCTAATAATCTAGTTTGTGTTAAGCAGACGTTAAACTACATTTTTCTCTCTCTTACGAAAGTAAATGAAACCTACATCCCGGTTTTGGAATTGGGCCATTGGCTGATTTTTGGGGAATTCTTTGCTGTATTATTAAGGCGCCAAATTTGCCATAAATGTACGCACGTAGGTGTGATCTCTCCAAGGCCCTGTGGTGCTCCAAACTCATGCCTTCTAACACACTTGCGTTCTCAATTAGAAACACTTGCCCTCATATCTCAAGTGTGGTAATTCCAGATGGGCCAAAATCAAAGCCATTTCTATTAGACAAGGATCTGACACAACATGAAAATCTCAGAAATATTTGAGCAACATCGAGGGTTATATGTTCTAGAATCTGGCATAAAACGTAGGTGTATGAAGTTATGACTTTGATATGCCGAGTATGATGAGTGTGACTGTTTTAGACATATATAGTACAGCTTGTCGACAGTTGGTACGTATACATATATAACCAAATCATTTCTGTGCCATGGGTACGTATATATACACTTGACCTTTAGGTGAGTGGATGGCAGTAAGTAAGAATTAATAGCCAAGATTTCTTCTTTAAGACACCCAATAGGTGAGCACAGTGGGTCGTGTTTAGTTGTTACCTCTCTTGGCACCACGTGTTAAAGGGTTCACGTCAATTCTGTGACGTAAATAGTGTTCTGTGAAATCCCCGGGGAGGTAGTATCAATATAATCCCCTACTCCAGAAGTATTTGCTAAAACATTCAGAAATAAACTATAAAGGCGCCTGTTTCGTTGTAAAGAAAATAAACTTAGTGTCATTTTCCATGCCATCATTGGATAATGTTCTAACATGACTTCATGTTAAAAACAGTTGCGTCGTTGACTATAAACATCACACAAAAATAAACAAAGGTATCAATGTTCAGTTCCTTACCTTTTACCAGCAAATGTATACATGTTGGCTCATTTGGTCTGTAATATTGACCATTAACATTCTGATGGTTCAAATTTAAAACATTACGTTTTTAATTTGTGTATAAAGAATTGCACACACCAGACACACCACTAATCTGTAGAAACTTAACTTTTGACTTTTATTTCAAACTGATCATACACCAACAATAGAAACATGAACACTGACATTTTTTTCTTTAAAATATTAAAAGTTATTTTTTGCGCGAAGAAAAAACCCCCCAATATATCAGAAGATAAGTAAGTTTTGTGATATTCTTAGTTCTTGGTAGTGTATATAGTACATGGGCATATGTGTTTTGTTTTTTAATAGAAACTAGATAAACACTATATTATAACATCAACATGTTGATACTTCGTATTTATATCTCTATCAAAAACATGTCAGAGTTGTTGGAAAATCTTCAGTAGTTTCTATACACTAAATATGCAGTCTAGATTGAAGTACCCCAACCAGCCAAATGACTTTGCGTTGGTAGGGCCTATTGTTTTCTTTTCTTTTAAGGATGTAGTTCCCGGGTCTTTCTGAATTAAGCTTTGTGCCCTTCGGAATGACATTTGTGATATCTTTTGGTAATCAATACCTTCTACACGGTGATTAAATCCCACATTCCTACTCAGTCATAGACTTGCATGTTGTAGAGTCCGAGTGATTTCTTACCGAACTCACTCCGTACGTTTGGCACCTCCCTAGTGATTTGGCAACAGTATCTGGTCAGATCTATTTATTTCAACGACCAGTGTCTGAAATACAGCCAGGCTCAAAATATCGTTGCGAAAATATTCATTCCCTTGTTCGTTTGACACTTTTCACTCTGGTCGGATCAATTAGTGGTCAGGCGACAGGCGGTATCTGGACCGATCTATTTATCTCCATGATCGGTACCTGAAATATTCCCAGACTGCATTTCCGGCAGTCTGTTTTTTTTTGTTTTTTTTTTAAAAAAAAACAAAACTGGTTGAAGCTCGAGCCTTTGTCCTCTTAACCCTGGACCTTTCCTCAGATTTGCCACTCCAAATGACCTACTATATTTTCCAATAGACCGAACTGACAGTGATGTATAGCATCAAAAGTCAAGGCGAAAACGTTTTGAGAGACACATTTTTCTTGCTTATGTGTACAAATACCAGACCTCCATATTTTTAAGATCTACGCTGTAATGCTTATTTATCAGTTTACATGCAGGATAATATAACGTGTACATATATACATAACATATTTATAAAATAATAACATGCAAACTTGCGAAACGTCTTATATCTTTATCTATGTAGGAACTAGATAACGTGGGTTCTTATATATCTGAATGTGAACTTTTCATATTTTATTCTTTAACGGTTGAAACACTGACATATGGCTCCTTTTTGGTCCTAGTCGCCCGTGTAAGTTCCCCTCAACGCGGCCCCTAGAAAATATCCTGGATCAGCGCTTGAATAATAAGAATGCGGGTCTTGATTTTATACACACTCCTTTTTAGTTCATGCTGACGTTTGGATAGGATTTTGTTCGTGTTACTTTAGTTAGAGGATAGTGGGTGGTTAAATCGCTGCTCTGGCAAATTGTCATCCAACGGAACTTCTGAATGAAATGGAATACGGTTTACGGTCAACTGAACATTAAAATTTATGATGTTCCACAGCGATGAAGTCAATGCCTTACCGCTCGTCTAGCGTGACTAAATGAAACCTGTGTGAGTATATTATGGAACATGCAAGCTTA